AAAAAAAAAAAAAAAAAAAATTAACATTCCTCAGCTGGGCTGTGAAAATTATAATTTCTAGAAGTCTATTAAAATAAAAAAGAAATGCACCATTGAGTTCTTTCTCAATATTTTTTTGTTTGGAAGCTCAGTCTCAAGTTTATGTTTTCATGACATAAGATTATATTGAAAAGCTTGAAAGCTGTCATTTAAGGAATATTTTAAAATCAGACTGGGAACCATTATAAAGTTTGCTGGATTTTTTCCTTACCACAAACTAAATTGCATCCAAGGTAAAGATTCACAGGCAAAATCATAACACCATGAAAATATGTTCAAGAAAAAAATGTGAGTTATGCAGAAATTGGAAGCTTCTTTGAGTAAAAAATCAATTACATGTTTGCCAATAGTTCAAATAGTAAGCTTGTTTTTTGACATTTAACTTTGTTTTTACAACAGAAAAACATGTTGCTTCTGGTTTTTTGCTATGTGTGTCACTGGCCTACAAAGGAACACGCTCTACTCTGGGAAATGTTTTCTATTCAGGCTTCTTCATCTACTTATGTCATCGTTTATTTCTGTTCTGACTCCAGTCTCTCCATGTTAACTCATTCGTGTGCCTTCAAAAACAAGCATCTTGGCTAGTATCTGGTGAGCCTGACTCAGTGTCAGCATAGATTAGACAGTAATGCATTTCCTGCACTCCTAGTACCAGGGTGTGATGGTTAATACTGACTGTCTACTTGACTGGATTGAAGGATACAAAGAATTGATCCTAGGTGTGTCTGTGAGGGTGTTGCCAAAGAAGATTAACATTTGAATCGGTGGGCTGGGAAAGGCAGACCCACCCTTAATCTGGGTGGGCACAGTCTAATCAACTACCAGTGTGCTTAGAATATAAGCAGGCAGAAAAATGTGAAAAGAGAGACTGGCTTAGCCCCCAGCCTACACCTTTCTCTCATGCTAGATGCTTCCTGCCCTAGAATATGGGACTCCAAGTTCTTCAGTTTTGGAATTCGGACTGGCTCTCCTTGCTCCTCAGCCTGCAGATGGCCTATTGTGGGACCCTGTGATCATGTGAGTTAATACTTAATAAACTCCCATACTATATGTTTAATATATATATTCCATTAGTTCTGTTCCTCTAGAGAACCCTGACTAATACACAGGGTCTTCTGCAAAGATGCTCTCCAGTTTTTATCCTTTAAGCTTCTTTAAAAACCAGGAGTGGATTTCAGAGGGATGTTACAGATTAAAGCGTTTTTCATGGTTTAAGGATTTGAGGACCTGACCAACATCTAGATTTGGTTTTGTTATAAAGTATAGGCTTAATATAAATATGTATCTAGAAATAATACAATGATAAGAATTATTTCTATCTGATTGATTGTAGAAAAAAGGAAATATATTAGATAACTACTATTAGCCCGCTTGATAATGATAACAATAACAGTTAACAGTTGTGGAATATTTTGTTATGATTTAAATCACTCACAATCTCAGTTAGCAACCTTATGAAGTCGACTCCACTATCATAGATGAGGAAGTTCAGGCTCTGAGAAGTTAACTAAGTTGCCTAAATTGCACAGCCTTTAAGTGATGGAACCAGGCCTCAAACAAAGGGAAATCCAAGCTAAGCCCAAGCACCTAACCATTATATTCTACTATCCCCATGACCTGTAATAGCAGCTGTCAACCTGGGTCAGAACCTGTTCGACCACTGAATCACCACTTGACGTCACAGGAAAGGATTCCCAACATCCTTAACAGCACAGTCAGAAGGACCCTCACCATCATGTGGCCATTATGGATTCGGCATGCGATTCTGATCAGCAGTTCTGGATTCTCACTGGTAGCTTCATGCTGGTGCACTAAGGCATGTCCTCTGATGGTTGCTTTTAAGATTTTCTTTCATTTCTCCTTTTACAGAGAACATTCAAATGGTACCTTAAAACTAGGAGGTACCAAACAATTGAACATGATTAACCACTCTAGCATTTAAGTATTCCAGCACAGTCATAGAAGTGATGGTCGAGGCAGTCCTAGCCCTGATGGAGCTATGGTCCAGCAACGAGACAAAGAACAGACCCCAAACAAGCTGGCATTTTCTGTACTGGGAAAGCACATTCTTTGGGGGTGATTAGAGATCTAGGCAATTCCTGGGTTTTATGTGTTTCTGACCAAAATCAAGCATCTTAAAGGTCCACAAGAGAGCCCTTCACTCCACAGTGGCTAATGCTGATTTACTTTCCTTCTCCACCTCCAATGCCTCCCCACCACCCCACTGTAGGTTTTTCCTAGCACTTGTCACCATTGGGCCTACTAGCAAGGTAGGGCAATATGGTGGTTAAGGCAAAAAGTTCAGAGCCAAACTGCCTGGGTCCAAATCCTAACTCCATTGCTTAGGGCTGCATGACTCTGACAAACTATTCGAGTCCTCTGTGTCTGCTTCCTCATGTGTAAAATGAGGATGCTAATGGAACTATTAGTATAGTACTACTGTCATGAAGATTAAATGAGCAAATACACATGGAATACTAACAATAGTACCTGGTCCAAAGAAAATGTTTGCTGTTGTTACCATACGTTTAACATATGTGTGTCTGTTTTTCTTTTTCTGCTAGAATGTCAACTTCAGAGGGATGCAGATCTTTTTGTTTGGTTCACCATGGTATCTTCAGTACTTAGTACAGTGCCTGGCCTCTGGTTGATACTCAGTAAGTATTTGTTGAATAAATGAATGAACTACAAGTGCTGCCCAGCTTCTCTCTCTGTCCAGCCTGGTTATTCTTCTTGGGTCAACCCAGTCCTGTTCTCAGTCTTTGAATGACAACTGTGAGCCAAAGGAAAGCCCAGAGAGAAGGCTGATGGCTCGAAACTTTCTGTCTCTACCGCATCTCCCAGCACTGCCACGAAGCATGCACAACACCCATCCTCCCCTGACTCAGAGGCCAGCTATCCTCACTCCAGAAAATCTTCTTTCCGGCCCTCGGAGTAATTGCTCGAGATAGCTTTCCTTTAGGACCCAAGTCAGGGTTTTTGAGAGTGTGTAGAAGATGCTCATTTCAGTTTTCCTTGTACCAAGGCTCTACTGGCACATATATGGCCTTTCAGCTCCTTCTATGAGATCTAAAGAGGTGAACCTTAGGGAATTCCTAAGGTGATGGAATGTTCAGCAAAGAAGCATGGTGAGGTTCTCAAGACAGAGACAGGCTGAGATTGTTTAGCAAGAGCCAAGAGAGAGCTCTGCTCCATTTACATCTCAATAAAAGATGAGAACGGGTAAAGTGTTGTACTAAGAGACTTTAAAAACTTGGCTGGACTCCTCCAGCCCCAACCTTTTTGTAGCTATTTCCTCAGGACACAGAGAGGGAAGAAGCTATGTGCAGTAGTCCATAGTGATCATGAAGGACAGGTGGAGGCCACAGGCAAGGGAGGCAGGTAGATGAGTTCCTGGTATCCGTTGAACTCAAAGAGGATAAGAAGTGTCATACCAGGTACTAAGCATGCCTGTGGGAGGTTGCATCCATAAGAAGCTTGAGGCTGAGGGAAATTCTCTTTTCTCCTGGTGCAGATTTGGGCAGGGGATTATTCCTTGTATCTGTACACAGAATCCCAGGGAGTACATTTTCCCAGTTATTATGGTTCTGTGTTCTCCGAATTCATATGCTGAAGCCCTAATTCTCAATGGGATGCATTTGGAGATAGGACCTCAAAAGGGATACTTAGAGCTAAGTGAGGTCATCGGGTGGGGCCCTAATCCAATTGAACTGATATTTCTGGTATCCATATGAAAAGAGGAAGAGACACTAGGGCTGCAAGTGCACTGGAAAAGACCATGTGAGTGCATGATAAGAAGGTGGCCATCTGCAAGCTAAGCAGAGAGGCCTCGGGAGAAACCAAGCCTGCCAACCCCTTTATCTTGGACTTTCAGCCTCCAGAACCGTGAGAAAATAAATTTCTATTGTTTAAGCCACCCAGTATGTGATAGTTTGTTATGGTTGCTTGCTATAGTTTGGATGTGATTTGTCCTGCCAAAACTCATGTTGAAATTTAATGGCCAATGTAATGATATTGACAGGTGGTAGAGTCTTCAAAAGGAGTTTGGGTCATGAGATTCATGAAGGGATTAATGCAGTTCTCATGAGATTGGGTTAGTTCTCAGGAAAGCCAGATGTCATAAAGTCAGTTGGCTCTCCTTGTCCCTCTCTTTTTTCCACTCACGTCCCGCTGCCTTTCTACTTTCTGCCATGAGTTGAAGCAGCACAAGGCCCTCACCAGATGCAGATGGGCCACCGGATCTTGGACTTCCTAGGTCTCCAGAACCTTGAGTTCAAATAAACCTCTTTTCTTTATAAACTACTCAGTCTCAGGTATTCTGTTATAGCAACAGAAAATGGACTAAGATATAGCCTTAGCAAACTAGTATACCAAGGAACGATAGGTTTGCTGGCAAGCTTGGTTTTTTCAGAGTACATATGGCTTTCTAACCTATTATATACAGCAGCTCCTCCAATAACACTGTTTTGCTCAATGTTGCTTCGTTATAACCTTGATGAGAAAAAAAAAAATTGATTCCTGGTAGGGGCCACTGTCTGTGTGGAGTTTGCACATTTTCTCCCTGTCTGTGTTGTTTTCCCTGGGGTACTCTGGTGATATGGTTTGGCTGTGTCCCCACCCAAATCTCATCTTGAATTGTAACTTCCATAATCCCCATGTGTCACAGTGGATACCCAGTTGGGAGGTAACTAAATCACAGGGGAGGGTCTTTCCTATGACGTTCTCATGATAGTGAATAAGTCTCATGAAATCTGATGGTTTTATAAATGGGAGTTCCCCCACACTTGCCTCTTGCCTGCTGCCATGTAAGATGTGACTTTACTCCTCATTTGCCTTCCACCATGATTGTGAGACTTCCCCAGCCATGTGGAACTGTGAGTCAATTAAATCTCTTTCATTTGTAAATTACTTAGTCTCAGGTATGTCTTTATTAGTGGCATGAGCACAGGCTAATAAATATAGTTTCCTCTGCATCCCGAAGATGTGCACGTTAGGTTCATTGGTTTGTCTCCATGGTCCCAGCATGAGTGACTGTGAGTGTGTGTGTGAATGTGCCCTACAGTGGAATGGTGTCCTGTCCAGGGCAGGTGCCCAATTGGTACTGAGCTGCCAGAACAGATTCTGGCCACCCATGACCCTGAACTGGGTGGGATAATTGAGTAAATAGTTATCTTGTTTTTATTAATCTTTCTTAAATGTAATAGAGTTCACATTTATTTCAACATTAAATATTAGAAGTGTTTTCGTCTTTATTTAGGAGTTTGTCCATGTTTTTGTGACTAGAAATATGACGTAGGAACTTAACTCTTGTTTATATCAATTAGGCTATGGTAAAACTGGTATGGTTATATGTCATTTTGCTTAAGTCACAGTTTCCAAGGACCTATCAACTACATTAAGTGAAGGCTTACTGCAATTTACTTCTCATTGCCCTTCACCTGCCATCTAAATATAGCCTCACAAGCTCAGGAGTTCTGTTGTATTTGCTGATGTTTCCCAAATGCTGAGAGGAGCAACTGGCAGGTAGCCTCATGCTAATGTCAGAATCAGCAACTCACATGGTTCAGTGCGTGTTTACTGATGGAATGAACAAACAAATGAATGAAGAGTAAAAGAGGCCTGTAGGGACTAGTTGGAATGTCACCAATGTGAAAAATTTGCTTCTTAAAAATAGTTATATTCAAAAATGCAGTGAAAAAATTGTTTTCCTATGTTTATATGAATATATTCCCTAATGTAGGGGTTTACTTTCTTTTTCCCCTGGGGTAGGTTTGTTTACCATCATGAGCACTGCAGCTTCCTCCTGGCTTTCACGTCATCTGTGGCTGCAGGCGGTTAGGACATAGGTAAAATACGCAAGAAAAGGTTGGGAAATGAACCATCTGGGAGTGGATTTACCTGAGCTAAAGATTCCATCAGGTTTCTCACGATTTTGTCTTGGTCTTCGGTCAGGATCCTGTGAAGGGTGGCTCGCCTCTCACTGTCCTTCCTCAGCATGAAGAATCCAGAATCTTTTTCTTCAGGGGAAGGGGGGGCACTGTGATCTTCAAAATTCTCATCTGGAATGCTGAGAAAATTTATGCTGCATAAATCTCAGTTTCCTTTATAAATGACACACTTACCAACATGCTTCTCTCGCCCCGAGTAAGTCAGGTCTTTACCCCAAAAAGAGTGTCCGAATTCCCTTTACGTCTCTTTCTCCACAGGATTTGGCTCTTGTTTTGAAAGAGAAGGGATCCACTTTCAACTCCGTGTCGGGTGAAACTGAGCCGTACTCACTGCTGCTGCTGGTGTCCTCCACCAGCACAGGTACCGGCAAGGATATACTCCTGAGATATTCTGCTTGTGAGGAGAGGAAGGAAAAGGTAATTGATGCTTTAAAAAATGTACACATACTGAAATACCCATTGAAAGAGACCCATATTCTTTGCCAAATACCTTGTTGCAATGAGCAGCATAATTATGCTATGTAAGGGGATGGTCATGTGTTATGACTGCCCCCCTTGCTCAGCATAACCCATACAGTGGGGCAGCCAGGAAAGGGCCTCCCAGGCCCTGGGAGGGATATCTCCAGGGAATCAAAACAGTCAAGCAAGCACCAGGCTCAGCGGGTCTGATCCCCTCATTTTTGCTGACAACTAACTATTTCTATTTATGGGTCTCAGTTTTCATATTTATAAAATTCAAGGTCAGATTGATCATCTTTAAGCCTGTTCCTCAGGGGCTTAAGGATCTATGTTAGCATCTCGGGGCTGTCTTGGTTGGGATGAGTGAGTAGGATGCTATAAGTCTAGAACACAGGTTCCAATCCTGTTTCACCTGAAACCAGAGCAAATATGATGACTGTCATATATCACAGTTCTGCTTAAGGATTCATATAAAAACACTAAAAACAAATTTTGGAAACAGATGGACTAGAGGATCTCTTAGGTCTTTCCTCGTTCTCAGATACTATGATTCTCTAGTAGACATGAGCTTCTTTGTTTGGATGAAGACTGAGATGGTTGAGTTGCCTATATTTCCACAAACATTGGTTTTAAAGAAAGTAGTTTTTGCCAGAAACATCTTTAGCAAACACACATCCTAAAGCTACAAAAATCTTTTAATAAAGAATGAAGGTATAAAATTATAGAAAAGAAAATCCACTGTTGTCTGGAATCTCCTTTTCACTGAATTCTTCTTGGGCTGAACTGGATCAACTGTCCTGATCTGAAGGGTAGCAGGGGACTCCTGACATTGGTTTCAGCTATAGGGAGAAAGAGGAACGTATATGCAGCTTCCAGGAACAGCTGACTTCAGGGGAAAACAATGTACTGGTCAGTAACTGGAAAGTGTTCCCAGGATGAATGGTTGACTTAGCTGCTGTTATTTAAATAGCTCTGTAGCTCAATCATTAGAAGGCAGGAAGCAAGATGAAGCCACAAAGAGTTGCTGGATGGACCAAATATAGTACCAGTATGCAAATGATATGTAGCAGGGGAAATGCCTGGCATGTAGTGTTGTTCCAATATACCTGACTATGGAGTCCCTTTATGCTGGAGCAGCTCATGGGCCTAGCATTTCATGGACCACATTTTAGGCAGCACTGCTACAGCAGGAAGGAAATGGGTGACCTCTTCCTTGCTGATAATAGTGAGGTTGTCTGAGAGAAGAAAGGTTTGTAGGGGTCCAAACAGTGAACTACTTTTGAGTCGTTCCTGGGGAAAGTCAAGGTCTATAGTGTGCCTTGTTTCACTTTAGAGACGACATCAGCCCTATCTGGGGGGGAATAGATTTCAGAACAGAAGAAAACAGTTGCTTGGGAGAAACAGTTTCACTGATATGAGATGTCAAGCCCCTAAAATTAAATGTTGTTGATGGAAGAATACAGCTGAAGGAAGATCTCTTGGCTTTACTGAGTAGCCAATCTCTTCATATGAAGGGATACGGGCTGGGTGCAGTGGCTCACGCCTGTAATCCCAGCACTTTGTGAGGCCGAGGTGGGTGGATCACCTGCGCTCAGGAGTTTGAGACTAGCCTGTGCAACAGGGTGTAACCCCGTCTCTATTAAAAGTACAAAAATTAGCCAGGCGTGGTGGCAGGTGCCTGTAACCCTAGCTACTTGGGAGGCTAAGGCAGGAGAATTGCTTGAAGGCGGGAAGTGGAGGTTGCTATGAGCCAAGATCGCACCACTGCACTCCAGCCTGAGTGATGAGAGCAAAATCCCATCTCAAAAAAAAAAAAGAAGAAGAAGGGGTGGAACTCACTGATGATCCTTGAGACTTGGAGAGGGTTTCTTCAGCAGCCCATCTTTATGAGATGCATGCCACACTCAGAAATGGAGGTGTGCATCATTCATAGTTCCAAGACAAAATTGTTGTTTCTTGGGAGTAAAGAGATTAAATCCTATCTAGAATAGTACCAGACGAGGCGTTCCTATCATGTGTTTCTGTGTGTGTGTGATACATGTATGTGTATCCAAAGAAGAAAGGGAGTAAGGACCTGAATTATCCTGTATTTTGGCTTTTTGGTCATATCATGTGATTTGATTATCCAGTAATGAGAGGGCTTATGTCAAACCTGTGAATTTTAACGTTGCTGTGACTACCGACTGCCTAAAAGGAGGCCTAATGACGTAAAACTGTATATGTTTTTTTTAGGATGGAATCCAGTGCCTGTCACTACGGCTCATTAAGGAAATAAAGGGACTTATAGATATTCTGCATGCTCTATGTGCAGAGCCCCGATTCCCTCCTTGGCTTGATTTTATTTGTATTTTTGAGATGGAGTCACACTCTTTCGCCCAGGCTGGAGTGCAGTGGCTCAATCTCAGCTCACTACAACCTACGCCTCCTGAGTTCAAGTGATTGCCCTGCCTCAGCCTCCCAAGTAGCTGGGATTACAGGCGTGTGCCACCACGCCTGGCTAATTTTTGTATTTTTAGCAGAGAGAGAGTTTTGCCATGTTGGCCAGGTTGGTCTCGATCTCCTGACATCAAGTGATCCGCCTGCTTCAGCCTCCCAAAGTGCTGGGATTACAGGTGTGAGCCACTGCACCCAGCCTGCTTGATTTTAAATGAGTGAACCTGATTCTAGATTGAGCTCCCTTCTCTGTTAGGCACATGCGTTCATTTATCCAACATACAGTTGCAGATCACTGACTATTTGTCAGGTAGCCAGCAGGACTTGCTGATGGACTAGAGTGAAGGGTATGAAAAGGAAGACTAAAAAATGACCCCAAAGTAGAATTCTGGCCTAAGAAACTCAATGGATGCATGTAGTACTTATATACTAAGATGAGAAATAATACAGGCCAAAAAGGAAAGTACTTTTTAGTGGATAAAGGGTGTTATTTGACAGCTCAGTTTGAAAAATGAAGAAGGCAACTGGGGGGCCTGGCACAGTGGCTCACGCCTGTAATCCCAACACCTTGGGAAGCCAAGGATCACCTGATGTCAGGAGTTCGAGACCAGCCTGGCCAACATGGCAAAACCCTGCCTCTATTAAAAACACAAAAATTAGCCTGACATGGTGGCATGTGCCTGTAGTGACGGCTACTCAGGAGGCTGAGGCAGGAGAATCGCTTGAACCCAGGAGGTGGAAGTTGTAGTGAGTCAAGATCATGCCACTGTACTCCAGCCTGGGTGACAGAGCAAGACTCCCTCTCAAAAAAAAAAAAAGGCAATTGGATATGAGCTTGGAGCTGAGAACACTAGGCTAGATAGACCCTCAGCAGCCTACTGGCTAGAGATGGTGTTTAAAGGATGACATAATTTGGGGAAAGATACAAAGGCAGCATAGACCCAGCCCTTAAGAATGCCAGTATTTAGAAAAAAAGAAGAGGATGAACAGGCAGCCAAGAAGAATGACAAGGAGCAGCCATGAGGTTGGAGGAAAACAGAGAAAATTAGGTATCATGGAAGCCTACACAGGAGAGGGCAAAAGTAAGAGAACGGTCATCCAGGCCAAGGGCCACTGAGAAGTTGAGTAGGTTGGGAAAAACACTTGTTGGATTTGGCTAAAGAAATCTCATTAGACCTTGGTCTGAGCAGGTTCAGTGATCACGTGGAAGGGGAGATGCTACATGGGCGGGAAGGAAGAGGTGGAGATCTGGAGACACTGTACTTGAAGACAGAAAGCTGTGATGGGGGGAAAAACATGGTGGTGCCAGTCAATGAGGCCACTGTAGATCAGGGGAGGGACCAGTTCAGGACAGAAGACACTAGAGCATGTGTATATGGAACACACTGGGAGAGGCAGAAGCTGGAGAAGTCACGGGGGGCGGGGGAGGTGTGGGATCCAGGACCCAACTGTGGGGGACTGGCCTTTTGTAGGAAAATGGATGTTTTCTCTGTTGTAAGAAGTGGAAAGAGCGAGACTGCTGAGACAGATCGCTTTATACATTTGTGGTGGAAATATGATCAAATCCACACCTGAGATTTCTAGCTTCTTAAGTTATGAAGATTTCCAGGCAAGTGAGAAAGTGTAGTGCCTTTCTGTGTCACTGTTAAAGGGAAGAAGCTCAAGTATAACTATTTCCAGCAGAGCATGGTGAGTTTCCAGATATCACAGAGGTTACAAGTTCCTTGACATCAGCTCACATGCGTGAGTGATTGGGACCCCAGGCTGCAAGAGAGGAGCCTGGCAGGCTTTCCACTCATGGGCAGCCTTACTGCTGATGTCTCACCAGGAATTAAGAAGCCCTGCACTATGGGGCTGTCCGTGAAGAGTCTCAAAAAGACTGAATGAGACTCTCTGAGGATAGGACATGTCAAAGATATGTCTCTAGGGAGATGATTCTTATTGGCCTATTCCTGATAGGAAGGGGTGTGAGCCCCAAAGAGATAGCTTTACCAAGAGGCCAGGAGAATAGAATAGGCTGGAGTTGGGAGGAGTGACAGGCCACTCCACGGACTCTAGATTGTTGGGAGCTCCTATCTATGGAAGGGAGGTAGTGTGACCTTTAAGGAATTAGATACATTCCCGCTTTGGGAAAGTGGGGATCTTCTAAAGGGTGAGGTGGCGTCAGATCCCAGCAGCTATTCATGATGACTAGGGATCTTCATGATTCCCCTTCTCCTAACAGTTTAGGAACAAAGTCCGGCCACAACGCAGAGTCTCTTAATGGGTCATCCTGCCTCCAGTCTCCAATTGACCAAACACAGAATAATGGTTCTCACACTGCAGTGATTACAAGAATCATCTGGGTTTACTTAAAAGTACAGAATTCCACCTTGCACCTCCGTATTCTGAGAAGGGCCAGGCATCTCAATTTTTAACAAGCATCGCAAGAGATCCATGCAGGCAGGATTTGGGACCATCTGAGGCATGGCTATTGGTGTCTCGTGCCTACATTCTAGTGCTAAGTACACAGCAGAGGGTTAAAAATGTTATGGAATAAATGTTATTAAATAAATCATCCTTACACAGCTATGGGAATGATCCATCAATAGCTTCACTGTCCAATATGGTCACTACTACCTTCCTATGGTTATTAATATTAACATTTAAATAATAAAAATTCAGTGCCTCAGCTGTGGTAGCCATGTTTAGAGTGTCTAATCGCCACATATGACTAGTGGCTCATGTATTGGAGAGGGCAGACACAGGACATTTCTCTTACTGCAGAATCCTGGGTCCACTGCTGGTCTGTATTATTTCAGATAAAAATGTTCCCTGGCTCTCCACCCATCCTCGCTGATTCCTTAGCGTTTCATAAGGAGACCTTTGGGATCTGGGCCTGCTCCCCACTCCAGCATCATCCCTCCCCTTTTACTGTAAGTACCAGTGCTGCTGAGCCAGCAAGGCTCCCTTAACATACAGTAAAGTTTCACACATCCGGGCATTAACTCATGCGAGGAGTGGCCTCCCCTGGCTCTCCACTCCCCATCCACCTGAGTTCACATTCGTCCTGACTCATCAGGTGCACCCCACTGGAAAGTCTGCCTTGAAACAGCATTCTCAGACTGACTTCAATCACTTTCTCTCCCTTTTGACTCCTTTAAACAGTCTAAACTATACTATAGTAGAGATGATTTTTTCCAGTGTTTCTCTCCTAGAGGGTCAATGGCTCTTTAAAATCAGGAACTCTGTCTTTATCATCCTTATATATCCAAGGGCCTACCACATTTCCCATGCACACGGTAACTGTATAATTAATATTTAAGTTAAAGTGAATTACTTAAATCTCTGGGTCTGTGTGTGGCCAAGAGAGAGCAGTCAGGATGAGACAAGTCATGTGTCTCTCTAAAGGGGAAGGGGGTCTCATCGTCACCACCCTCTTACTCCCCTCTTGAGGGAAGCCAAGTGCAGTTATGGGAGGTAGAGAACCTTCAGGTGGGCCTGCACTCTAGACAGAAACACATATGCAACCTACAGAAAGTACCTGGGGAAGGAAGAGGCCTGTATCTTGTATTCA